AAATAAATAAATAAATAAATAAATAAATAAATAAATAAATAAATTAATTAATTAATTAATTTGTATTTTGGTTTATGTATTTTATGTTTATGTTATAGTTAAAATGAAAAATGAAAAAAAAACCCCAAATCCCTCAAAAGTTGACTGAGGCTCCATGCTGGTATGAAAATAGTAACGATTTTTTTAAATAGAAGAAAAAATACATTTGACCAAGCACTAGCTACTTTATAAAATGCAACACGGTGGTAAAATGTAATTCATTTACTTCACTTTTTTTTTAAATTTATAGCAAGCCTGAATTCTCTCTGGAGGCAAAAATGTTGTTGGTTCTATTTGGGGCATATCCTGAGAAGGGAGGATTCTCTAGAAAAGACAAGAATGCTGGGAAAGGTTGACGGCAACAGGAAAAGAGGAAGGCAAAATACGAGATGGATACCCTAAAGGAGCCCACAGGCTTGAGTTTACAAGAGCTGAGCAGGGCAGCTGAGGAAAGGACATTTTGGAGGTGGCTCATTCCTAGCGTCGCCATGAGCTGGAGGCGCGACCTGAGGGCACGGTAACTACAAAAGCCACCTTCATTAGCAATTATTTTGAGAAATACGCATGTTCAAAAGGTAAATACAATGGCCAAAGTTCTCTTCTGTAGCTACATCAGCATAATTTACTTCTATCCAGCGCACAACAGATATCTTATCTTGAGGCTACCAGTGACCCTTTCCAAAAGGGACACTGGTAGCATTATGCTGGCATAATTACACAACAGGATTTTGGCTCATATAAATTTATAATAATAAATTCAAAGGTATAAAAACTCTTCAATCACCAAACAAATATTTTCCCCAAAGCAATTATAAAAAAAACCATCTGAACTTGCAAATGTGAAATATTTATTTTAAATGTCTGTCTGGAGGAGAAAGAATGTTTTAATTTGACACAAAAAACAATGATGGGATTGAACTGGCCCAAATCCTCTTGCGTAGCTACAGAAATGAAATAACATGTGGAGGCCAATGACTCCAAATCAAGAAATCACTGTATACACTGAATCATCCAACTTGGTATGTAATTCATTAATCATGTCTGCAGTGGTTTCTTAATTTAGGACAGAAGTTACTTATGCAGCTCATCACAGATGCATGCATTTACAGCAGGACCCCCGTATTCATGGGATCAGTACCCGCAATCTGAAAATCTTAAGAATATGAAAAATATCTAGAAAAACCTAGAAATATATACATATTTTTGCCATGTATTACCAGAACTGGCTACTAGAGGGAGCTGGAGACCATGCTAAGTATGCTCGCTGTTGAAAATAAATAGCATTGTCTCTGGTTCCCTCTAGTGGCCAGTTCTGGTAATTTTTTTTTTTTACCATACTATGTATTGTATAGCATTCACTATTATTTGCCGTTTTCAGCATCCCCAAGGGGGCTTAAAACCAATATGGGGGTCCTACTGAATGTTTTAATTTGACACAAAAAACAATGATGGGATTGAACTGGCCCAAATCCTCTTGCGTAGCTACAGAAATGAAATAACATGTGGAGGCCAATGACTCCAAATCAAGAAATCACTGTATACACTGAATCATCCAACTTGGTATGTAATTCATTAATCACGTCTGCAGTGGTTTCTTAATTTAGGACAGAAGTTACTTATGCAGCTCATCACAGATGCATGCATTTACAGCAGGACCCCCGTATTCATGGGATCAGTACCCGCAATCTGAAAATCTTAAGAATATGAAAAATATCTAGAAAAACCTAGAAATATATACATATTTTTGCCATGTATTACCAGAACTGGCTACTAGAGGGAGCTGGAGACCATGCTAAGTATGCTCGCTGTTGAAAATAAATAGCATTGTCTCTGGTTCCCTCTAGTGGCCAGTTCTGGTAATTTTTTTTTTTTACCATACTATGTATTGTATAGCATTCACTATTATTTGCCGTTTTCAGCATCCCCAAGGGGGCTTAAAACCAATATGGGGGTCCTACTGTATTTACTTATTTATTTGTTTGTTCAGTGTCATTTGTTCGGCTGCCCTTCGCTCAATGAGGGGACCCAAGGCAGCTCAAAACATTAAACCCAGTAAAATAAAAACACAATAAATCATATATTAAAAACAACAACACTATAGTAATAATTGAAAAAATATTAAGTGAATAAAAACATTTAAAACTTTCAAAACGAACAGAATTGGCTAAAAATACCTATTTGTTTAAAAACAAAAAACAATAACCTGACAAACATTTTAGTTTAAAAACTCTTTTTTGACTTTTCCTATGAAAAGAAGAGAACATGGCAAAATAACCTATACGTAATAGAATAAGTATTCTCTGGAAAAGACAAGAATGCTGGGAAAGGTTGACGGCAACAGGAAAAGAGGAAGGCAAAATACAAGATGGATACCCTAAAGGAGCCCACAGGTTTGAGTTTACAAGAGCTGAGCAGGGCAGCTGCAGAAAGGACATTTTGGAGGTGGCTCATTCCTAGCGTCACCATGAGCTGGAGGCGCGACCTGAGGGCACGGTAACAAAAAAAGCCACCTTCATTAGCAACTATTTTGAGAAATACGCATGTTCAAAAGGTAAATACAATGGCCAAAGTTCTCTTCTGTAGCTACATCAGCATAATTTACTTCTATCCAGCGCACAACAGATATCTTATCTTGAGGCTACCAGTGACCCTTTCCAAAAGGGACACTGGTAGCATTATGCTGGCATAATTACACAACAGGATTTTGGCTCATATAAATTTATAATAATAAATTCAAAGGTATAAAAACTCTTCAATCACCAAACAAATATTTTCCCCAAAGCAATTATAAAAAAAACCATCTGAACTTGCAAATGTGAAATATTTATTTTAAATGTCTGTCTGGAGGAGAAAGAATGTTTTGATTTGACACAAAAAACAATGATGGGATTGAACTGGCCCAAATCCTCTTGCGTAGCTACAGAAATGAAATAACATGTGGAGGCCAATGACTCCAAATCAAGAAATCACTGTATACACTGAATCATCCAACTTGGTATGTAATTCATTAATCATGTCTGCAGTGGTTTCTTAATTTAGGACAGAAGTTACTTATGCAGCTCATCACAGATGCATGCATTTACAGCAGGACCCCCGTATTCATGGGATCAGTACCCGCAATCTGAAAATCTTAAGAATATGAAAAATATCTAGAAAAACCTAGAAATATATACATATTTTTGCCATGTATTACCAGAACTGGCTACTAGAGGGAGCTGGAGACCATGCTAAGTATGCTCCTTGTTGAAAACAAATAGCATTGCCTCTGGTTGCCTCTAGTGGCCAGTTCTGGTAATATTTTCTTTTACCATACCATGTATTGTATAGAATTCACTATTATTTGCAGTTTTCAGCATCCCCAAGGGGGCTTAAAACCAATATGGGGGTCCTATTGTATTTACTTATTTATTTGTTTGTTCAGCGTCATTTGTTCGGCTGCCCTTCGCTCAATGAGGGGACCCAAGGCAGCTCAAAACATTAAACCCAGTAAAATAAAAACACAATAAATCATATATTAAAAACAACAACACTATAGTAATAATTGAAAAAATATTAAGTGAATAAAAACATTTAAAACTTTCAAAACGAACAGAATTGGCTAAAAATACCTATTTGTTTAAAAACAAAAAACAATAACCTGACAAACATTTTAGTTTAAAAACTCTTTTTTGACTTTTCCTATGAAAAGAAGAGAACATGGCAAAATAACCTATACGTAATAGAATGTCTGTTATGTAAGCTAAGTTAAGCTACCGTATTTTTCTGTGTATAAGACTATACTTTTGCTTGTTGAAAACAAATAGCATTGCCTCTGGTTGCCTCTAGTGGCCAGTTCTGGTAATATTTTCTTTTACCATACCATGTATTGTATAGAATTCACTATTATTTGCAGTTTTCAGCATCCCCAAGGGGGCTTAAAACCAATATGGGGGTCCTATTGTATTTACTTATTTATTTGTTTGTTCAGCGTCATTTGTTCGGCTGCCCTTCGCTCAATGAGGGGACCCAAGGCAGCTCAAAACATTAAACCCAGTAAAATAAAAACACAATAAATCATATATTAAAAACAACAACACTATAGTAATAATTGAAAAAATATTAAGTGAATAAAAACATTTAAAACTTTCAAAACGAACAGAATTGGCTAAAAATACCTATTTGTTTAAAAACAAAAAACAATAACCTGACAAACATTTTAGTTTAAAAACCAACAACAACACTATAGTAACAATTAAAAATATATTAAGTGAATAAAAACATTTAAAACTTTCAAAACGAACAGAATTGGCTAAAAATACCTATTTGTTTAAAAACAAAAAACAATAACCTGACAAACATTTTAGTTTAAAAACTCTTTTTTGACTTTTCCTATGAAAAGAAGAGAACATGGCAAAATAACCTATACGTAATAGAATGCCTCTCTTGTTAGGTAAGTTAAGCTACCGTATTTTTCCGTGTATAAGACTATCTGTTATGTAAGCTAAGTTAAGCTACCGTATTTTTCTGTGTATAAGACTATACTTTTGTCTAAAATCTTTAGACTACAAATGGAGTGGAAAGCAGGTATCAAAGCGATCCGGCAGCGCTTTGATCCCTTTCCCCCTACACTTGCTAAGCTCCACTTAGATTTCTTAATTTTGGATTAGAAAAGGGGGGGGGGGCATTTCTTAATTTTGGACTGGAAAAGTGGGGGGCGTCTTATACACGTAATGGTCATTGCTAGGTTTAAAAAATTTAAATCCTTAAAATGTACCTCCTTGTAGTCCCCCAAGCAGACGGCCTGGGGGCCCAAGAGGCGCTCAATTGCAAAGCAGACTTCCAGAACAATCTCTCCCACGGTGGACCTCCCAATGCCGAACTGGGTGGCCACCACCCGGTAGCACTCCAGATTGGACAGCCACCAGACCGCTATGGCCACGCGCTTCTCCACGGAGATGGCCTCCCGCATGATGGTCCTTTGTCGGGCCAGCTTGGGCCGGAGGACGTCGGCGATTTCAAAGAGGGTGCCTCGGCTCATGCGGAAATGCTCGATCCACTTCTCGTCCTCAGTGGTTTCGAGGGTGAACGTTTCCCACCAATTGGGGCCCGTGGCGGGGGACACCCACCAGCGGCGAGGCAGGGGCCCATTGTCCAACACCCCAAGGAGGACGGCTCGGCGCCGGTTCCTCCGTTTCTCTAGCAGGCGGCTCGCCCGACGGAGCCTCAAGAACTGTTCTCGGAAAGCCAGGCTGATCAGCTCCCTCCTTCTCCGTTGGCGCCGGAGACCCGACAGATACGCCTCGAACATGCTCATGGTAGAATGCAGGACAGAAAGGAGGGCTTGGATGTAGAATTTCAGTAGGAGGAGAAGCGAACGGGGTTCTGTCTTCGGCAAGGAGAGGTTTTGGAAGTTGAAGGAAGGGTATTTAAATAGCTGAGAACTGTCCTCTCCCACTGCAATAAAGAAACCAACATAGTACTTTTTTTTTCACTCTTGGCAAAGTGCAAGCAAAAGACTACAGACTAACATCAACAGGCCAGGAGGAAAACCTTTAGCAGTTGGGAAGCCATAATGCTAGTCTCTGTAACCCAGCAGAGGCTGTTCCTCTGTGCGATCCAAATTCCATTACAGTTGGACACCCCCACCCCCCGTATTTGCGGGACGGGCCCATGGTTTCAAGTATCCGAGTTCCGAAAATATTAAATGAAAAAATATACGTACAGTGGTGCCTTGCTTAACGATGTTAAACACCCCCCGTATTTGAAGGGACGGGCCCATGGTTTCAAGCATCCGAGTTCCGAAAATATTAAATTAAAAAATATATGTACAGTGGTGCCTCGCTTAACGACGTTAATTCGTTCCAGCGAAAACGCTGTAGAGCGAAAACGCCATAAAGCGAAAATAAAAAACCAAATGAAATGCATTAAAACCTGGTTAATGCATTCCAATGGGCTAAAAACTCACCGTCCAGCGAAGATCCTCCATACGGCAGCCATTTTCGGTGCCTGTATAGCGAGGAATCCGTCCCTAAGCACAGCGGAGAGCCATTTTGAGCACCGGGTGGCCATTTTGAAAACCCGATGATCAGCTGTTTTGATCGTCGTAATGCGAAGAATCGGTTCCCGAAGCAGGGAACCGATCTTTGCAAAGCGAAAAAAACCCATTTAAAACATCGTTTTGCGATCGCAAAAACATCGCCGTGAAGCAGATTCGTCGTAATCGTTAAGCAGGGCACGACTGTATGTATTTCCATGATGTAATTACCAAAATCCCCCACTAGAGGGAGCTAGAGACCGTGCTATGTAAAGGATCTGCTTTTATCCAAGGTTTTCAGCATCTATGGGGGGCTGGGGGCAGCTTGGAAGCAAGTCCCCATGGATACTGGGCTCCTACTGTATACAGCAGTACTTTTTTCCCCCTCCTAAACAAGGACTTTTGTGTTAAAACAAGGTTCATTTGATCTCTCTAGAGGCCAAAACATGCTTCTAGATGCACAGGGATAAAAAAAAAAAAAGCCAGAGTGGATTTCAAAGTAGGAGTCCCTTTTTTTGTTTTGGGGTCATTTTGTTTTTTGGCAAATTTTAGAGGGAAGGCTTGTTTCCCCTCCCTTTCAGTAACAAATCCAGTGGAGGAGAAAACAGCCTGGCATGAAGGGTGGCGGTGGACCAATCTCTCTGGTGCGCCTGCCACCCTCTTCTCGTTCCCCTTTCCCAGTTCTTTCCCACGATGCCTCTGCAAGCAGGACTCACGCTCCCTGTTGTCCCACAGAAAGGGAATGTTTTCTGGAACACTTTTTGGTGGGAACTCAGCACCAACGCCTTCTTCTTCCTTATTTTCCTCTTCCTCTTCTTCTGAGGAGGAGCTTTCGAGACGAAAATAATCCTCCCAAGCAATCTTACCAACCGTCCCATCGGCTTTCGCTAGGGGCCAGGGAGAGAAAGCCGGAAGGTGAAAGAATACAGTGTTAGAACATCCCACTTTAATAATAATAAATAATAAATAAACAACGACAACGACAACGACAACGACAATAACAACAACAACAACAACAAAGGGGGGGGAAATGGAGGAGGACTTGTCAACAGAGGGACACAGAAGGAGGATCACAACCTGGTCTCAAAAGAGAGACATCTTTTGGCTTTCGGCCCCCATCCTGGCTCCTGGCTCATCGGACAAGAATGAGCACCAGCCTTAAGGAGGGAAGCCTGTCTGGGGACCAGTGACGCTCCTGCCCACCCCCAAAGGAGGGGAGATTTCCCCCCAGCGTTACTCTCCAAGGGCAGCCCGGGAAATGAGGGGCCTTTTCTTTCCAAAGCGGGACATGGTGCAGGAGAGAAAAAAACAGCGGCCGTTTTGGCCAAGGAGAAAAAAAAAACCCCACAGAAATGTTCCAGGAGAAACCAAGCCCCACCCAGCTCTCGATTTTGGTCTCGCAGCAAAATTTGCCTCGATGGTAGCATTTGTTCTCTGGGCTCAACATACCCCAGATCCTTCACCCCCAAAATGAGACGATTCTCCCCAGAACCAGCTGTGCACAAGTCGGGGAGGAAGAACTCTGCACAGAGCGCAGGCAAACAGGGTGTGTGGCCTGTATGTCTCAGTCAGTGGGTTTCCCAAACATGTCTCCCCAGATGTTACTGGACCACAAACTCCCAGAAGCCCTCACCGTTGGCTTTGCTGGCCAGGATTCCTGGCAGCTGCAGTCCGAAAACCTCCAGAGACCCAATGTTGGGAAGCACCGGTCTAGCTTGCATGGCCTTCCAGAACCGGGCCGGTCCTCAAAGTTTGGGTCTGGGGGGGTGTCCCTCAGAACCAGGCCTTCTTGCAGTGGAATTCCCGATGGGTAATTAAAAAAAAATCTCTCAAGTCAGCCAAACCAGAAAGACTAGCCCGTAGGTAGGACCCCCGCTTCAAATCACTTTGTGCAGCTGTCATTCTTCTTGACAGAGCCTCCCCCCCCCCGATATGCACCCAAGGAGAAACGGAGGTAGGGAAAAGCGGCAGCCGCCCTTCTTCTCTCGCCTCAGGCAGCAGGAGACCTTGGGTGACCACTGCCCCGTTCTTTTCGGGACGGGATTTTCCTTATAAGCATTCGCTCCCTCGAACGCATAATGGGACGCCAAGAGACGTTAGAGCCAAGAGATTACGAAACTTTTTTTTTTCTGTATGAACACAAGCTGAAATGGAAACCGGTTCCAGCCTTACATTTAAGCATCGAGACATCTCAGCATCTACCCTGTTTCCCTGAAAATAAGACCTAACCTGAAAATAAGCCCTAGTAGGATTTTTCAGGATGCTCGTAATAGAAGCCCTACTCCCAAAAATAAGCCCCAGTTAAGGGAAACCCCCTGCCTCCACCGTTGTGCAGCAACCAGAAGATGATGACAGGACTGTATTTGAATAAATGTAGATTGTTGTAAATAAATAAAATAAAAAATCCCCTGAAAATAAGCCCTAACGTGTTTTTTTGGAGCAAAAATTAATATAAGACCCTGTGTTCTTTTCGGGGAAACACGGTACCTGATAGTCTCTCTTTTTCTGCTGCACTCTGGAGAAAGCTGTCTTTTTCTCTTTCTTCCAGCCAGGAGATAAGATGAGGCTTCGCACTCAAGGCGCTTTCTGAAAGTGGACAAGTCCAGGCTCATTAGGTCAAAATCCCAGCAGTTTTTGAACAAGAAGGCCTGTCATATTATCTGTCGCTCCGTCTGGCTTTCTTCTTCCTTCTGAGCTGAGCTGCACTCCCCCCCCGATTAGCTGGAAGAAAAGTGGATTTTCCCCCAGAACCAGTATTTATCCCCATTTTCATGCAAAACATTTGAGGGTGGTTTGCGCCCTCAACATCAGCAGCAGAAAAGCATACCCTCAAATGAGGGCCAAGGGGCTTCTTACCCAGCCAGGTCACCGTCTTATAGTTGTCAAACATCACTTCCGCATACAAACTTCTTTGGCCCGGATCCAGCCGGGCCCACTCCTCGTCGGTGAAATACACGGCCACTTCTTCGAACGTGACTGGTCCCTGAAACCAGAAACAACATTCAGAGTCTCCTTCCCAGGGCCAGAAGAGAACAGAAGACCCCCCCAGAGTGGGTCAAATCCAAGGTACATCCAAGATTGTAGTCTGTTCACACCGCGGACAACTCTACACCTCTAGGAAGCCCACCAGAAGGACATCGAGAACCTCTCCGAACCCCTCTCTGGCCACTTTCTCATGCTCCCCATCAACTCATCTATAAAAGCACAAGATCTGTGATAACAACTTTAATCATGTGTGTAGCATGGGGTGAGAAGAAGCAGGAAAGTCCAAAATATTAGGAAGATGTGATTTTGTAGTTGTGATGTTTCCACTTAAACCACAGACAGAGATTTTATGTTATTTATTCATTTAAAATACGTTTATCCGGCCCTTCTGCTAAAAAAAGGCAGTTCATATAATTAGAAACCTAATATTAAAAGCTAGAAACAGTAAATGATTCCAATGCAAAAGAATGAATAACATGATATTAAAAATGTGAGGTAAAGTCATTACAAAAAACAGATTTAGAAGCAAGAAAATATAAACCCTCCCATTTATTGTCTCCTAGACCACTGGTTCTTAACCTTGGGTTACTCAGGAGTTTTGGACTGCAACTCCCAGAAGCCTCTAACACTCACGTGCTGGCCAGGATTTCTGGGAGTTGTAGTCCAAGAACATCTGGGGAGCCAAGATAAGGAACTACTGCTTTCAGGAAAAGCCTGCCTGAAGAGAAAGGTCTTGGCCTGCCTGTGGAAGGACCGCAAAGATGGGGTCAGCCTGGCTTCTAGTGGGAGGGAGTTCCAGAGTCTCGGGGCAGCAACAGACCCGTGTCCCTCCCAAATGCACCTGGTAGGGTGGTTGGACCGAGAGAAAGGCCTCCCCTAGACTGAAGGAAACTTCGGGTCGAATTTGACTGCGGACCTCACAAACAAACCACATCTGGCCAAGTGTTAAGACTCCCCTACTTCTCTCCCTCCACACAGCTATAGCCTTCTGCAGCCTGTTTTTTTGCAGCTCCTCCCTACAATATTTAATTTGAATCTTTCAGTTAGTCATGTGTGTCTTCTGCCTTTCTTCCGTCGCTCTCAAGGCAACATAAAACTGGCTTGCCTCTTCTTCTTTATTCCAGCTTCATGACAGCCTTGTGGGGGGTGGGGGCAAGCTGAGAGAGAGAGAGAGAGAGAGAGAAGGCAAGCTGAGAGAGAGAGAGAGAGCAGGACTTGCTCAGGCCACCAAATCTATTTTCTGAGCACAGACCTGAAGCCAGATCTCCCTGGAGACCCAGCCCAATCCTGACACCAGGACGGCTTCTCCTTCTGGACCAAAGAGGGAATTCCCCTCAAGGACCTTCTCCTTACCTGAGCCAGCTGCAGGGAAGCTGCTTCAGAGCAAACAGCCGATGATCTACAACATCTGCTTGACGCCATTCTGCCCCCTGTGAATGGTTAAAAAAAAGCCTGTCACTACCTTTTGGGGCACCTTCAGGCCTATGGATCCCGGTGGGTTGCCAACCTCTGTGTGAACGGGCCCCAGAGAGGGCCCATTTAATCTTTTTTCTTAAATACACCCGCAGGTAGGATTTACTATGTTCTGTTAATTGATAGTTTGGATTTATGTTATTATAATTGTATATTTTTGTGTTAGCCGCTCAGAGTGGTACCGACTTACCAGATGGGCGGGATATAAATCAAATAAATCAAATCAAATAAATAAATAAACTCAGAAGTAACATTTTTGATGGAAAAACAAAAACAGCCTTAGGTAAGGAACTGGATCATTCCCACGTGTTTCCTTCAACCCCTGGCCCCGGCCGAGACAGCATTTGTGGATTAAACCTAATAAAGCTCAGAGGGTTTGCGCTCAGATTTCTCCCCACTCACTTGGGCCTAAGGCAGTGATGGCATCTGTATAAAGTCCAAGTACTGTAATTTTTTAAGAGCGTATGTAACCCAAAAATTAATATTCTACACACCAGTGATCCACATTTTGTACAAAAAAGGCCCGAGGGCTAATGCAACCATACTGAAATCAGTTTACTATGCTGTTTAATAACAATTGTGTGTCATCACGTCAGTCCTGATGATGACCCTTTTTCAGGGTATTCCAGGTAGAGAATACTCAGAAGTAGTTTACCGTTCCCTTCCTCTAGGGGGAGCCCTGGGACTGTGCAGCTTGCCCAAGGCTACCCAGGCTGGCTCTACTTTGCAGGCGGGGAATCGAACTCCCAACCTCCAGTCTCTGCAGCCAGATACCTAAGTCACTGACCATGATACATATATATTTAATACAACTGCTGTTCCTTCCCTACTTTGCCTCCCTAGTAGCATTATTTAGCTTGTTTTTCACGCATTTCCAGATGCTTAACATTACTAAGGGTCCCGATACTGTCCAATTGGTTTCGGGATCAACACAGAACAGGACTGGAGAACCTGCAACCCTGCTGATGTTGCTGATCTTCAGTGCCCACCAATGATGATGGATGATGGGCCATGGAGTAACAGACCATCAACAAGCGGAGCACCCAAGATTTCCAGCTTGGAAATAAAGAATGTCCTTTCTGATTTTTGTTTTCTGCCTGCAAATGCTCCTTTTCCAGTCCTTTAAATAGGGCCACAGCATAAACAGGTCCCCAAAGGTTCCTCCTCATACTTTCACGCCTAGATCCATAAGGACTAGTAACTTATTTCAAAATGTAAAGGCCAGAGACTCATCCAGGAACACAATCTGCGATTTTATTGAGGCTTTAGAAAGTAACTATGACATGAGGAAAGGTTAGAGGAACAGGTTTTGAAGCTGGATTTTTTTAAATAAAAAAACCCTCTTCTATAAGCTAGCACTAACAAGCATTACAAATAAAGATTACAGGGATAACAAAGAAGATAGACATGTGAGTGAGTGGATGGATGGCTGAGCAGAGAGAGAAAGAAAAAGTAATTTAAAAAGTGGGGTAATCTCCCCACAGCTGGTAGGGCTGTAGAAGAAGCCACCAGGGATAAACAACTTCCAGATGGAAAGCGGAGTTAGCTTCATAAAAACAAAAACCATCCCAGGCATCTTAGAGGTTAATTAATGTATTTCAGCATGAGTTCTTATGGATTATTGCCCACAATATCAGGCGCAATTAACATTAACCCATCTTTCCAGCATACAGACAGTGTGCTAGTTAAATTGGGGCTTCTTGGGAGTTGCAGTCCAGCAGAGACCCATCTGCCCCCTTCGAGTGCATAGGTAATGGAGGGAACAGCTCCTTTTTTTGGACTACAAAACCCAAAATCCCCCAATCGCCATGAAAGCTCCAGTACTTCAAAAAATATATCATTTTCTCATCTCCTGGCCTAGTTCATCACAAAAAAAGCAATGAAGGACACCTCACCGCCCTCCCCAGCACCCCCAAAATATATATAAAGGGATGGGGGAACCTCCATTAATCCCCCCCCCACCTTGGACCCTTTTCAATGAAAAAACCCCAAATTAACGCATCTCCTTGTTGGGGGCTCGAGCAGGCTGGCCGACCAATGTCGTGCCGACACCTCTCTTCATCCCCAGGAACTTGGGGAACCCTCCGTAGAGACGAGAGCCTTTTTGGACTCCAGACCCCATCAGCCTCAGAGCTGAGGAATGATGGGAGTTGTAGTCCAACAAATACCAGGGAGGCCAATCATTTTTTCTTTTTTTTGCTCCCTTCTCCTTTACCTATTTTTGGGCAAGCTTTGGGTGAAGCTCAAGCTCTTTCTCGCCTTGCAACCTCAGCGTCCCCCCAAAATCCGGTCCTTTCCTTCCAGCATCTTTCGCCAAAGCAGGAGAGGAAACGCACGCGGCCACTTTGCATTTTTTGATCCTCCAGCTGGGCGGGGGAGGAGCGAGTGGGCGGGGCGGAGAGGGGAAAGGGGGCGGTCCCTCCTTCCCTCCCTGCCGCTCTAGGAACCCGAGGCTTCCTTGCTTTAACTACTAAAGTGCTAAATCCGAAACATTAAAGCCCCTTGCCTGCCTTCAGGCGATCAGATAAAACTACGTATTTGAGAGGGGGAAAAATCTTTTTGTGGAAACTTAATTGGAGTTTGTGTTCTCTGGCATAAATCCCCCGGGGTTCGCGTCTTCTTCTCCTGCTAACCCAAAGACAGCTTGTCAGCAAAGGTGAGTTCACACATTGCCAACAAACCAGATTGCGGACGACGTGATGGCTTCTTGGGCTGTGAGTTCGAAACCAGCCATTTCTTGATTTGTAGCATGATCGATTACAAATTAGCACATTATTTTTGCTATTGTTGTTGCAATTAAACAATAATAGATCATACTGGAGGGACTGGTCAAGACCCTCTGATTCCTTAATTATATATGTTGTTGTTGTTGTTTAGTCGTTTAGTCGTATCCGACTCTTCGTGACAATTATATATGTAATTGTCACGAGATGCTTCGTGACAAAATTATCTATGTAGGTCGCCTCAAATTCAGTTGCGCTTACTTAATCAATTAATAGATTCTTACCCTGCCTTTCCATTACAATTGGCAGTCAAGGTAGCTAACACCATCAACAAAAATATTCTTTAAGCTGCTTCTTCTCATTCCAACCCAACAAAAGTTGGACAACTTCGTCCTTACTTTGGATTCTACCCTAAATGATTTCTTGATCTTTCTTCATTTGTTTTAGTACTTCTTTGTTGGGTCACCCTCTCCATCCGCAAAATTCCTCACATCCTGTAATAAATTCATATTTCTAATATTTCTCTCTCTCTTTCTTTTTTTTACATTTTGCAGTAGCTTGTGTTCCAGTTCACAGTTCCATGCCATACAGCAGAACTGGGGCTACGCAGTATTATAGATTTTCAAACCAATTTAACATTTTGTTTGCATTTATTGCTATTGTGATTGTTCCAACTTCAACAGTGCTGTCCTAGCGGTAACCACGAATGGAGCCAGGTAACTGTTTATCAGTTACCTGGATGTGATGTGTGGAGCAATACTTGGCTAAAGCAAAATACATATCTTCTATACAATCCCATATAGCACATAAAGCAGTCTCCGGGCAATTTACAATTTCATTTTGCAGGCTACACATTGCCCTCTCTCGCAGTGAGCTGGGTACTCAGTTTACCAACCTGGGAAGGACAAAAGGCTATCCACCCCAAGCCAGCTACCTGAACTCATTGGGATTAAAATTGTGTCATGACAAGTAGAGTCTTCACTGCTGTACTGTACAAATGGTGCCTCACAAAACAATTTTAATTAGTTCCGCGAAAATCACTGTCTTGCGAAAAAATCATCTTGCGAGGCACCATAGCGATCGCAAAAACCAATTGTCTAGCGGGTTTTTCGTCCTCCGAGGCAATCGTCTTGCGAGGCACCACTGTAGTTTAACCACATTCTTTATTTACCGAACTGCTTTAGGCTCACTGTACATTAACCAAAACTAAACAGCATTTATACTTGACTGCACATTTTTACACTTTCTTTACATATTGAATAAGTGCTTTCTCCTTCATCAGATGTATGACATTTCACAAATGAAATTGTAACACACACACCCTCCACATACACTCATTGCCCGTAGTTTGAATTCTTATTTTTCAGTTCCATGTCCTTGAATTTGACTGGGGAGTCTGAACATTGTACTGTACAACTAAACAAGCAATATTTCCAGGCTCTGATTGAAAAGTTATACCAGGATAATCCATGTATCTGTTGTGGGAAATACATGCTATTAGCAGAAAGGACTTGGGAGTTTTTGGCTGATATGGTTAAATAACGGAGGGTCAGGAATCCATGCTGACCAACAGCGAAGGATCCAGAAATCTACTAGTAGATCCAAAAGAACTTTCAGCAAACACACACAAACCATCTGCTTGCCACAACTTTCTTTCAGGTAGGACGGGAAGAGATGGACTTTCGAGGCAATGTTCCTCTTTTCTGTAAAGGTAAAGGTTCCCCTTGACAATTTTTGTCCAGTCGTGTTCGACTCTAGGGGGCGGTGCTCATCCCCGTTTCCAAGCCATAGAGCCAGCGTTTTTGTCCAAAGACAATCTTCCGTGGTCACATGGCCAGTGCGACTTAGACACGGAACACTGTTACCTTCCCACCGAGGTGGTCCCTATTTATCTACTTGCATTTTGCATGCTTTTGAACCACTAGGTTAGCGTCTGCTGGGACAAGCGGCGGGAGCTCACTCCGTCGCGTGGATTCGATCTTACGACTGCTGGTCTTCTGACCCTGCAGCACAGGCTTCTGCGGTTTAGCCCACAGCGCCACCACGTCCACGTCTTTTCTGAGGTGTATTTTAACACTGCTTTTACCTCTCCCGATACTGCACCTCTTTCCCCAATCTGATATTCTGTCTTAAGGCTGGGGGAAGGTGTGTGGCACTCCAGGGATTCTGGACTCCAGTTCCCATAAAACCTAGGTAGCCTGGCAAGTGTTTGGGAGGACAAAAAGTTGCAGACCAACATCTGGAGCACAATCCGTCTCCCCTTCACATCTGTTCTGCAGCTCTGAGCCACTGGCATCTCGCTGGCTTCCAGTTTCTCTCTCTCCCCCCACTCGATCAAGAACCAGCAAAAGTGTATTCTGCGACTGGAATTTCGCAAGTTCATTGCCTGTGTCCATAATGCACCCCCTTTTACCCATTTCCCATGATCTCCACACACACACACACAACTCCATTGTGCATTGTGTTTACAAACCTAATTTGTGCAGTCTGAAGATGGTGTTCCACGAGCCGGATGACGTCGATGGCAACCAAGGAGAACTCATAATGAAAATTAATGTTTTTGCCTCGGAGAGGTCACAACATTTCCATTGTTGTTATCCACCCTGAAGAACGCTCTCCTCCCGTGCAACGCCATGGAAGGGAATTAGTGGCAGTGAAGACGGGACAGGCGGCTTCTTCAACCTTTAACCCAGCGGTTACAGACTCCACAGGGCTGCGGCTCCCAATGGTAGGAATCGGGCGTTATCGCCTGCTGAAGATCCTACGTAGGTTTTCCAGGCATAGGGGATATTTAGATAACAAATGTGTGCTCTCAACTCCATTCTGACTTACGGCGGCCCTTTTCAGAGTTTTCCAGGTAGAGAGTCCTCAGAAGTGGTTTCCCCTTCCCTTCTTTTTTTTGGGGGGGGTGCCCTGGGACTGTGCAGCTGGCCCAAGGCCACCCAGGCTCCATCAACCTTTGGCTCCACAGCCAGATCCCCAAACCACTGAGCTGTCCAGCCAGTGGCGAGCTATTTACAGGGTGTTTTTGCCACTTCCACTCCCATCCCATCAGGCTCCCACGGGATTTGAACCCAGGTCTCCTGAATTCTAGTCCGCCACTCTATCCACTGCACCGTACTGTCTCTTAGGACTCCACACTAGGGAAACCTAGGAAGGGCCCCCTTTCTTCTCTCTTCCGTCCGACAAAAATGGGTGCTAACCCAAACTGTGCACCTCTACCTTCCGGCTTCCTCCACGACAGCAGCCTCCAGTCCTTCTGCAAACACAAAAAATGGGATTTGAACCCTCCTCTTTGCATTTTCCAGGAGGACAGGACAGGACAGAGCATGATCCGTGTGCAGGGTCCCACTTATTGTGAACAAGTAGGGTGTTGTTCACAAAAACGAAGAGATTTATTGCAGCTTTGGCCTTTGTGAACAAGAACCCTCCCCATCGGAGCCGCGCAGTACTATGCGTACACAACATACAAACACACAATCCACATAAAGAAAGGAAATGAGCTGGCCAACCTGTTTTTACATCGCACTGTTAAAACACGAGTAATCGTTATTTGCATTTAATTTAACCTAGCAAACATAATTAACTATACATATGTCACTGGAACCATACAACAGATGAACCATTAAGAATAGTAATATATTTTCCAGGGCAATTTTTTTCCTTTCAGATTCCGGTGGAAACGGCACAGAACCTTGAGGACTAGCAAGTTTAATCTGGCATCAGTTTTTATTGCCTGCAGGGCCCCACTATCGGATTTGGCTGTGGTCCAGAAAAGATTATGTCAAATTAAAGTTTGCTACTCCTTCAAGGTAATAGAAGACTCAGCACTGGTTTTGCCACAGTGGCCTAGAAGCCCCACTGGGAATATTATAGCAGGTGAAATGTTTTGTCAACTCACTGATGTTGCCAGTCTGGTTTCATTATTTCTCCTATTTCTGGAGGGACTCGCTCACCACAGTGTATTTGATGTTGGTGATGAGATTAAGCCACCCCATCGTTATCCCCTCTCAATTACCATCTTTCCCCCTTTTGAAATACTGGCATGGTTTGCAGTGTTGAATTTTTTTTAAAAAAATGCAACCGATTAGCCTTAGGACCCTTCGATGAGGAGTGGACAACTTCAAGAAACTTTGGAAGATGATGCTATATGGCTCACTTTCTCTTTCCCTGCCTTGCAAATTTCTGACGTTAAAAGGCCCCTTGCATTTAAGGGGATACTTGGGAGAAATTCCATCGGTCATTCTCTGCCCCCCCCAACTTATTTAGATCAGAGGATGGTATTTTCTCCCTGAAACTGGAAGTGACCAGAAATCATGGCTGATTTTTTGGCGGGGGGGAGAAGTTGCATCAGGGCAAGCCTCCCTTGAAAAGTGTGTCGTCCTGTACCCTCCTGAGCTGGAGTGGTTAATTTTGGTAAGGCTGAAGACTAATGTTCAATTTGGCTGGCAAATAGGCGGGGGGGACATCTACCCCCAAAAAGCTACTGAGATTCAAAGTAAAGCAAAGTTTGCTGCTGATATACTGACCCATAGTGCTTAAAGCACTCTCAGGGTGATTTGCAATTTAATTATACAGGCCACACCCTCCACCTACCCCCAGCAGGCTGAGTACAGTGGTGCCTCGCTTAACGATTACCTCGTT